AGTAGGAACCCGTTGCCAGGGTTGTGATTGGCATGACCACCTCGTCCAAATACGACATCCCGTTCGGGACAAAGATGTGTCACGATAGTAGTCCATTTGATTTTGGGTACCATTTTTCTCTTGGCGGTCGTTTTCTTTCCTGACGCTGCATTTGACTTTTTCTTCTCGTTGGTTCGCTGTGATTTCTTTGTCGTCTTGTTCTTGGTTTGACATGGCATCTCTTGGATGCGGTTGACATCCTGAATAGGAGCAGCATCATTGCTGAGAAAGCAGGAGCCGAGAGAAGAAGCATATTCTACCAACGCTTCACTTCCGTCTCCTTGTGTGATCTCGTCTAGAGGAATGGGGTCAATTTCGATTTCGACATCGTAGGATTGTTCGTCCTCTCTGTCGTTGCAATCATCAAGTGGGGGGAGATCTGATAGCAAGGATTCCAACTCCGTTTCGTTTAGAATGAAAGCAGAACCATCGATTGAATGTACCATATCATCATTGGACAGACACATGGTAGAGGATTCAAAATTGACAGTCATTTTGGTTTTGGAAGTTGGCTTTGAAAACAATTATGCGAGTGTTGGAACGCTACCATGAAATTACTTTTCATTCGGCGTCCATTGACTCCGGTCGTCGTACAGGCGAGACGTGCACCTCGAAGAATACTCACGCAATGTGATTGGCTAATGCAGGTCAAACGTAGCCGGAATTGTTGCGAAACTCAAGACCCTCGTACCCCTTCGCCTTTAGAAATAGAATATGATATGAGAGATGGGATTGGATACGGGGAAAGAGTGGATTGACGCCTGCGGTTTCTCCTAATTTGTGGAACGCGAATGAACATCTCAAGTGTTCAAAGGGCATAAATGTTGCTGGCAGTATCTGGCATTCGAGATGATTGGAGGTGAGAGGTGAGTTTGGTTTGTTCCTCTATATCAATCATCGCAACAATGAACCGGCCGTGAAACTTCACGGCACCAATTTGGGGCAAGAAAGGAAAGCAAAGCACTACAATGCTCATGAGGCTTTCAGGCAGGACGTTCGAAGAACAACAAGATGCAGTCAATGCAGCCTTTCGCTTGATCTGACGCTTGTTCTTGCTTCCCTTCGCTCTCGTGCTGAAGAGGAAGAACTTGCCCATATTTTCTAATTCCTTATTTTTTCGTTGTCTAATCATGTGCTTGCGGGCTAGTCCATCCTTATTGTTGCTGTCCACATCTTGCAACCTCGTGGTGTCGAGTATCCGTTCTTGCTATTATAGGCTTCGCAGCGGCAATGCGACATCATGCCAGAATCCAACGCCCCCCGGTAAATTCTGTTTTACTACTAACTCGTAGAATTTGAAATTGCTGTTTGACGACAGGCAGCCCAAACGAAATAAGGGGGACAAGAGCGATCCTTGCAGAGACGAAACAATCGATTGTGGTTTACAGAATTCGCCGTTCTTACACGTTTCGTGGTTTGGGGCAGGATCCGAACAGCTGAGCTCCCATATTTGTTTTCTTTTCTCCTTTCCAGTGGCT